GGAGATAAAAAGCACAGGTAAATTCTAGAAACAACTGTGCAATGTTTAAACAATGTCCTCTTAATGTATTTTGATTTTCATGGTAAAAAAATACTTTTAACAACCTACATATTCCTGAGAAGACATTAAAGGTGTGGTCAAATAATACACTAATGCTGGATTGCTGAAGTCTTAATGTATTTTATCATTACCTAGTGATTCATTCGTGTTAGCTTGATTTAATTTTCAACAGATGTTAAATGTAGCTGGGAAACCGACCATAAGTGAGGTAGAAGAGAGTATGATAGATTAGACTTGGGACACTTGTGAATCCTAGGGAACGTGACGATACACAGCGCTAGTAATATTTCCCTCATTAAGTCGCAGTAAATCTTTAGTTCTCGCATGTTTATTTCATTATATTTGTAAATTGCTAACTCACGTTACAAGAGGCTTGTCAAGTGATAATAATTATGTAAACGTTTCATTAACATCAATAAAGATATCACGATTGTTGACGGTTTTTTTTCTTCTTCTATATTTATGACAGGGTCACCTCTGGAGTCGTTTGAAGTTTGTCTTCCAAATGATAATTCTGGATGTAGGTTGATGTAGATTCTAAGATAAGGTGCACACTTTTGACTTAACTATCGCACAACTGTTGCGCGATTGTCGATTATTTCACAGCCAATTTTACTGTTTAGTTCCATAACTAAAAATTGACTAGTGTACGCACCTCCATAGGAAACAAAGCGAAACTAAACAGTGCTGCGATAGTTTTAAGTGTGCGAATTTTCAAAGGATTCAATAGAATACATACAAAAGTAGCATAAGTTTCGTCTTTTCAAAGGTTTAAGTTTCATAGTTGGACTAAATGGTGATTATTCCTAGCTGCGACATTGCTCGCGTGAAATAAAAAAAAAAAGTGAATATACATCCATACCAACATAGCTTTTTATGGTACAAGAATTTTCGACATCGTGCCAGTAGTTTTTGATTTATTTCAATACATACAAAAATACAAATCTTTCCTCTTTATAATATTAGTAAATTTATAGATAAAATTAGCAGTTTCTATTACTCCAAAAAATATAATAAACCAGCGCCTGTCTACAGATAGGGTCATCATCATCATCAGAGGCACTACAGCCGCGGGTGGGGCTGGGCCTGGTCCAGTAAATTCCTCCATATCGGTATGGAGAAATTTACTGGACCAAGCCCACGGTCCACGGTTCATGGTCTCTGTTTAAAATTGGATATCATTGAAGAAATGAATTCCGAGAATATATAACAAACTACACGGCCCATTAACAGTTATAACGATTCACAATAACTATTTATAAATAATTGAACCAATTGATAGGACCCTGATGAAAAGTAGGTCAAATTATTTGCTACCGATGTACTTTTAGAATAATGATTGAACTGGAATAAACAAATACACTTTTGAACTATACTTGTATTTTTAGGATTTGCGTATAACGTTATAGTTATTATAGTTTGTCTAAATAATTTAGATTCGTTTGACAATTCATTCCAAATTTAATAAGGATGGGTTGTGTAAAATGAGTCATGAATCTTATCGATTTTCGATTTTTATTATTATAGAAGTTCGAATCGATAGATTCATAGTTATAACTAATGATTTGAAAAAAGACTGTTTTCTCAAATAAATAATGACTTGCAGAACCATTACAAATAATGAGAGTAAATAAATGTTTATTACTACTACAGCCGAACGTAATCGAATTGGATTTCGCTATTATTTCTTTCATCGCTAAATTCTCTACACTATAATCAATACAAGAATTGTCCCCTAAATTAGTTAATAAGAAAATCATAATTTGTAATAGAGTTCGATAAATATTTAAACCAAATATCGATAGTTCATAATTGTTCGCTATGCCTGTTTGTCTCGTCACTACGATACCTGTCTATTAAGTACGACATTTGCCTTGATACAAATTGAATGCGATACTTCATATTCGACATTTATCAAACTATAGCATTTTCTAAATCGTTCACTTTAGTAGACTTTATTTAGTAGACATATGAAAGATCAAAAACTGTTGACAAGTATCAAAATACGAGCATTTAATATCTTTTTGTAGCAATAACAATAGTCATAACTCAAAGCAAACGAAAAGAATATTGAATATTCTAATAACGTCGTTTGAACTTCAAGTTCAGGGTAATTTTACAGTCTAATACTCGCCGCCCAATAAACATGTTTGTTCAGAACCATTACATAATTTTCTATGTAGATTGACATTATTACGTAGAAAATAATGCCACCGTAAAAATGAAAATATTAAATGAAAAGTCCGCGTTACTTTTAAACTGATATTATTGTAAGGATAAAATTGAACATTGTAAGAATCTAATTTCATCGGATCTTCAGTAGCGAGTACAGTTTGACATTTTTTTTTTGACAAAGGCCTGAAATTTTTCAAGCTAAGTAATATTTGCGTAGTAAGGCGAGATTGTGTTAGTAATTTCATCGATATATTTGTACATTTTACGCCTGATGCTGTACAACTTGAATAGAAATTGTGTTAATGGCGTTACGAAAACTTTCTTACGGTGATTTATGATAAGCCCTCTGTTCCTATAATTTGCCGTACGTACAAAGACAGTATTTTATACATAAACATAACATCTCAAAGCAACAATGTAAGCAACCTTTAGATGTTACCTATATCTAGATATTCGTCTACTTTTCTTCTGAACTACAATACGGAAATATTAATTTTAATGGTAAATATTAACTTCTATTGATATTTCTCGAGTGTAGAGACAAACTATTTGTTACATCATTGTAACGTTAGCAGCAAATGATCATCATATGTCGGTCTAGACAACTCACAATAGATCGAAATTAAATGTTGCACGGTGACATTTATTCTTACACGATATCCACTTCAGCGGACAAGTAGATGTTCTTCAGGCACAACGCAAGCGTGACAAACTTCTGGTTAATTTGTTTACAAAAAAATCGCAGGTATTTTTTTTTCTTTCTTATATTTAATTCAACCATTTTATGATAACGTTTTTTGCATATAGAGTGAAGTGAAAACTTTTGTAACAATTTTATACTGACTGTATTATTTGGTAAAAAGAAATTGTCGACTTTAAGAAATTTATTTTTTGATTAACAATTTTAGAATAGAAAGGTTTTGAATTGTTTTAATTTTCCGTTTATTACTTTCAAATTTAAATAAATATAAATATAGCAATTTGTTTACTGAAATATAAAATATTTGCTCTGCAAAATAGTGTAGTCTAAATAAACTCAGGATAAATCTTGATTACTTTATTAAGCAACATGCGTTATTAAAAACTGGTAGAAACAAAGCATATCAAACAAAATGAATTGAAGCATAGGAATTAAAAGGTTCAATTGTCCATTTTACGACAATGTCCCTTATCATCAGACCCCTGTCAACACGCCTATTGACTGGGTCTCGGGTCCAGCGGATTCCCCAATCGTACCGTTTAGATTTTCATAAAAAATATGACCAAAGATCCTCTGATATAGATTGTTTTACACATACATCCGTATATCTATTCTATTATAATAAAGCGTAAACGCACACTTCTTAGTTGCCTAAGATGTCAGCAATTACACCATATTTTTGAATAATTCATATTTTAATAAAAAGCCCTACACTTGCGTCACGCTTTAGGCTAAATATTTTAACGCCATTAAACTTAGGGGGTAAATGTTTTGGATAAAAACCCTAATGTGGGAAAGAGACCATAAGTTGCTGTCAACATCAAGGAAGCAAGATTGTCATCATGTCATGTCATTATGACATTTGCAATTGATAATTTGACAAATGTAAACAATAAAATACTTTTTTCATAATTTCATGCGGATGAAGTCGCATGGGAACAGCTATCCATTTATAAAGATAAAATTAAACTATTTATCAAACCATCCTTTGTCGAAAAAACACGTTGAATACTAACATATTTATGACTTGCAAAATGAAGGAGAGGATGGCAGTAAATTTGAAAAATTTATGCACTCGCGTGCAGTCAATTGCATAATGGCCGTCCGGCGATCTACATCTGAAATTGTCGGAATTGAAATTAAATTCTCCATTACCACAACTATCGAATAAATTTTACATTTGTCAAATTACTTTTATTAAAACTAAAACATGTAGTAATAAATGTTTTGCCATTTTCTTAAGCTTTGTAAACAGTTTTTTACGATTTAGTGGGCTTTTTGACATGGTAATTTCGGATTTTTATTACCAAGATTTAAATCCCATCAAACACTTAACATTGTTAAACATTTATTAAGATAAAAAAGTAAAATAAGATTACTTTGATAATGTTTTAACAATTATGTTATAAAAATATTTTTAACACTCAAATAAACTTTTGTTCAATTCACTGTTAATTTGTTTTACTCGAAGCAGATAACCAAAGTAAGATTTTCCAGCGGTCCATTAATCCCGTCGTTAAAGAATAATTTTCTTATCTCCAGCCTTAATTCTTTAAGACAACAAAAATATTTCTTACTGTAACCGAGTTGCGTAACAAAGCAACTCTGACATAATCATTCTTAATCTAAACAAAATTTATCTCTTATATTTATTTGTTTTCTTTTTGATTTAAAACGTAACAATTACCTTGGGAATTAAATGTTCTAGCTGCTTTTATTTGAACACAAAAAAGTAAACCCATTCCATAAGAAGGCATAAATAATACCTCGCCATTTATTTTATTTTATTTATTTAATAAATTAAAGTAAGTAAAAAAGGTATAGGTTAATTTATTGATACGTCTCGAAAAGAACATACAAATAAGTTATCAAAACTTTTAGCAAAAACGGAAGATTATCGAATTTCAGGTATGTAAGAGATCTAATAACTTATAAACAAATAAAAAAATACAACATTATTTTCAACCCTAGCAGAATTGTCAGTAATATTGAAACTTCTTAGACGCACATTAATATGCCAGCAGAAAGAGAGAAGTAAAACAATGTCAATAAATTATAAATTTTGACATTTTAAAATCAAAAGACATTCGTATCAAAATTTTAAATGTATGTTCAATAAATATGATATAGAAATATTTCTGTCACACAATATACAGTTTAAATTGTAACGTATGTTTTGACGATGGCGGTATAAATTTTAAGTGCTGTCACAGTGCGAAAGGAAGATCCACTGGGTTGGCAAAACCCATATAGAAAATCCATTAGTGTACGTATTTAAACACATAATAAAGTCATAAATAAATATAACATAGTCGTTTACAGGTTACTCTTTATACAGCAACATTGTGCGTGTGTTTGAGTTCAAGTCTCAGTTATGTAAACACAAATTTATTTCTATCATCAATTTTCAACAATGATTTGAGTTTAATTAAATCAGAAAGATGAACAATACGCAGGCTGAACACACTAGCGCCGCGTGGATTAATTTGTCACTAATGCAATCATGTACTTCGGGACATAAACATAGTTACTCCAGAACAGTTAACAAGGTATATTCAAAAAAGGATGTCTAGCCCTATGAAAGGGATACTAACGGTTGTCTATCAGAAACTATTTAAAACCTAGAAGAATATAGAAAGTGGCATAAAAGGAGGGCGCGAATAACAAATAACAATTTAGTACTGACATAACTTATTGATATACGTAATGATTATTTAAAAATATCACTACGAATAAAAACAGTGAAAAAATTATCTACTTACTCTCTTGTCTCTTAATATATGCAAGTAATTGTTCCTTTGGTTACAGACATGCTACTAAAATACAGAAGGATGAAGTTTATGTCCTTATTAATATTTCAAGTGATCCTCATGGTCTTGTACTTCTGGTTCGTGAAGTACGGAAGTGTAAAGGAATTCGACGTACAAGGTACTTTGTCTTATTTACTATATTTTTTACGAAAAGAAGAAAAACTGTTTGGTTTTTATATCGAAGACAATTAAGGTAAGTTATTTATATAATTGCACCATGAAGGATTTAAATTAATAGAGTAATTTTACAACGCCATCTGTTGATTACATCATATATCTACATGGTTATTGCCAGTCTAGTACGATATAACCCGAAAGAGTTACGCACGCACATATACTAGCATAACTTTCTTTAATGGCCGGTTTCCCATCCTATATTTAACTATTCGTTACAATTTTTCGATCGATAACTTCCTGTGTTTCCCAACTTCGTAACTTAGTTTTACTCTGTTGAAACATACGTAAAACTGACGCTGACGAATCGCTAGGTAATAATAAAATAAGTGGAAACTTCAAAAACCCAGCATAAGTGGTTTATCATCTAAATATTTTACGATGAGATCTAAAATCAGTGTTTATTTAATACTAGCTTTTGCCCTCGACTCCGTGGCGTAGAATTAAAAGAGAAACAAAAGAGAGCCTATGTGTACCAATATATACAATATATAGTATACCAATTTTTCATTGAAATCCGTTTAGCCGTTTAGGCTACAAACGCTAACTAACATCCTTCAATCAATCTAAACTTTCGCATTTATAATATTAGTATGGTGTTCACTTTTAAACTGTTACTGCAGTACTAGTTTGCAGGGATGTATTCTCTTTCACTTGTCATTTTGAAATGACAACTTTACAAGCACAGTTTCGTTGAGTGCTGTGGTCACAATGGCTGGACTAGCGCGCACTGTCAACTGTTAAATCACACGCCGTATAAACCCACATTAACGTTTTAATGATACTGGTATCCGGTTTTATTTAACGTTGGCTTTTAAATGTAATAACATCAGAGAAAAGACTGAGTAACGTAGTTTAAAATTTCATTTTTTTTATAATATCAAAAGGCAATTAAACTATCCTGATTTCGCCAAAATTGCAAAGCGAGCCTTGTCCCTAGATTGCAATTGCAGATGCGTTGTCTACCTTTAATCGACGGAGGGCCGTGAAGAAAGTGGATATTTCCCTCTTCTATAGGTTATGCGTCCTACCTGCGTCAAATCCCTTCCTATCCTTAACTTAATAAAGTAGTGGTAAGGAAAAACTAAAATTATGTCTCTGACATGCATTTGCCGGCTGTAGTTATTCTGTGTGGTCGTGGTCTAAAGGGGTATTTCATCGAAATCTGTACAGCGTACAAACTCTAAAAAACATCCTTGCATCGAAACTTTCGCATTTATAATATTAGTAAAATTAGTAAGAAGTAAGATTAGTAAGATGAAAATCTCAAAAAGGCTGTCATAATTGTATAATAGAAAATGTTAATTTTGTTGAAAGCTCTTCCACTGCTGTCAAGTATTGAAACTTCTCATTATCTTTACTGTAATATGAGAAATATTATCCAAATTATAAGCCTTGTGTACGTATAAAAACTTCAACATTACTTTCAATGAGGAAACGTGTCAAAGGAACTCATCTTCAGAATAATATTACTAATTAGTGTAACATTCCCCACCGTCTAACAAGCACGTCTTTGTAATTAAATTAATAGATATTAATTATAAACATTAATGATATAAGGTGAAGGTGAGCGCGAGATCCTCCTGTTGTGACGTCACAGCTATGTGTAATTCGATACTAATGAATAGGACACGCGTAACCAATTATGATTGATTTCGAAAAATCATCTAACGCTAATTATATGTCTGGCCGATTAATGTTTTAAATTACAATATAAAGAATAAAGTAGCCTATAATATGCCTGTTTATGTCAGCTACCCTTTAGTGAATGTCCAGTCGAAATCGGCCCAGCCGTTACGGAGATTACCCGGAACAAATGCGGCTTGCGGACAGACAGACAAAAAATAATTAAACTCCCTTATCTTCCTGAAATCTTGATTTTTTTTATTTTACAAAAAGATATTCCAATTTTGTTATAATATGAAGATATAGAACTAGACGATGCAAAATGTTCTATGGCTACAAAGGTAGAAGACCGAAAAAAGTATGTATGGATTGTGTGAAAGAGGTTTTGATTATGAAGAGAGTAGATACAGATATGACGGTTGAGAGATGTATAGAAGAGCAGTATTTACTGTGCTCTATAGGGACAAGGAAAAGTTGATAATGATAATGTTTATTTGAAAATGTATTAAATAATATAAAACCTTTTAGCTCTCTAACATTATTTGAAATGATTTGAAACAAAAAAGGAGTTTTGTCTTTTTTTATCCGCGAACGGAATTATACATTTAAAATGAAAGAAAAGGGAGTAATTATTATGAGACAATTAGATTATTTTAGAAACACAGTAATGTGAAGATGAGAAACATAGTAACGTCACAGCGGCTACCAGCCTCGCGTCATTTAAAAAACAAGTTCAAGTCATGGCTTATACAAAAATCCTTCTATAGTGTCGAAGAATTTTTCCTACCATGATTGTTTTATGTATAATTTTTATTCAAAATATCTGTAAAGTTTTTTCATTTTTAACATTCTGACTTCTAATTTGCTTACCAAAACAATATTTTTATTTGTATTTGTATTGTAAAATAAGCGCGATTCAATGACACAATTCTTATCGGATACTTTTGAGACTCAATACGATTCGATTATACGGAATCGAACCGTATCCGATACTGTACATTAATTTAACGTAACCGAGGTTGACCCGCACTAGGGAGTGGATTGTCGTTCTCACGGCCAATTTAAACGCCGTTAGCTCGGGATGAGCCAATCAACGCGATGCTTATGTTAAACGTCCCATAGTGAAGAGCGGAGCGGATACTTTCTAAATTAAATCTTTTTGCTGTGATTATTTGATACTTTCTTATGGACATTATTGCCGTTTAAATTTATATTTTTAAATTACAATAAAGCAAATGTGAATGCAACAAGGAGTTATACTGATACCATAAGAAAAAAATATAGTATGCCAATGTAAATACTCATTTTCTAATTTTTAGGTTATAAAACATATACCTTTTTATCTTATTAGAAATATATTCCCTACAGCATCGAGTGTATAGCATAGTTCCAAATAATTTAAAATTTAATATACGAGTATAGTTCACTTACATTTTTAGATTTATATTTCAACTTACATTTAATGCGTAGGACTTCGTTCTGTTGCTATTACAGTGAATTGCACGAACGGAGAGCTTATTTATTTTGTAATGCGCGCTCCGATGAGCTTTTACTATATATCTTAGAATGTAGAGAAAGCTCAGTGAATCAGAAACTATTACCAGATTCATATTGATCGGAGTACATTGAATAGAATCTTTAGCCAATCGATTTAATGCTTGTTAATCAAACAAATTTATATATATAATCTAAAATTCTATATACAATATAAAATATAAAAGGTGCCGGAGGCCTAATTTAAGTCCCTTTCTCTTTACTACTTATAAGGAGAGGATGGGAAGGGGAAGTGGATTTGACGGAGGAGGAGATACACAGGAAGGGGAAATATCCTCTTTATGTGCATCTCCTCCTCTATCGGATAAGGGTAGGCAACGCATCTCCAATTGCGAATGTCTATGGACAGCGTTTAATTAAAGGTAAATTTACCATAAAATATTAATAATTATGATAGAGACTTTTTAAACGCTAAAGTTATCACTGCAGTGGCTGTTATAAGCGTGAATACGCTGCCCCACCCGTCCCCCGCTTAATTGAAATGCACCAAGAAGCAACGAGCACTTTTAGAGATCACAAGTTCCGCCCAGTTTTCCTATACGAGCTGAATTCAGGTCAGAGGATAGGGTTTTAATTAAGGGCTGCCAAAATTAAATTAAACATTTTATAATGACAAAGATACACATATTTTTCGAACCAATCATTAATATCATTTTTAATTAAATAACTAAGCAGGTAAAATTTGCATAAAAACTTCTCTTAATGCCTATTCAGATATGCCCAATAATCGGTTGATTATTCTAAATTTCTTTTTTTTTTCTATCATATATCACATGTAAATTTTTATAGTTCTTTAAAATCTTAAATCATAAAACTAAAGCAGGATTTGTTTACGTTTACTTATTAAAAATAGTTAATTTGGTTTTTTTTTTTAAAACAGAAAAATATATTTTAATTTTAAGTGGCAACCCTAAAGCGAGAATCTGTGGGTGACAGAGCCCTATACAAATATTCATCTATAATTTACACACATTCAAAAGCCAGGATATAATCTGCGTTTTTCACATTCCAAATTGGTTGCATACAATGCCGACCGCGCACTCTGTGATAGCAAATTGTAAAGATAAATTAAAACTTCTAATAATACTAAAAATTCGTGTATGATATTCCATAGTAAAAACGTAAGAAGTACCCTGTACTAGGTGTTTAGACCCGGCGTTGTCCAAATGAATTTTGTAATGCAAAAAAGTGTAAAACATGTCGTTTAGATTTTTTTACTGGGTAATTTTTTCTTAATTGATTGGATCGAGGCCAGAGATGTTTTTAAATCGAGATGATTTATCTGAAGGATTGTACTACTCAGATAAAATTGAACGTGGGTAACGAGTTTATCCGTATATTACTAAAGCAAATAATTTGAATGGGTGACCAAAATAATTATCAGGATTACCTTAACTGGGTCAATACAGTAACGACGCCATAAGTTATTAATTAGGGTTTCGATAGTCAATGATTACGGTGAAATTTAGCGGAAAGGATTCAATTCATTGAAGTTTAATATGTTCAAATATTAGTTAAGATACGGTTGACACATTTTTAGTTATTTAATTCATTCGGATTATAAAAACAACTGAAGGTTTATGCCAAGTGAGATCAATATTCGTGAAAACGTTTTCGTAACATTACAAATATTTCCTCTTTATTATATTAGTAAATTAAATAAATAACTAACTAACGGGCGTACGGGACTTCGACAGTTTGTGTTAGATAAAATAACCTAAAAAATTCCTGCTAACGTCAACTCCCTTTCCTACCAAGTTCAGAACAAACCAACGCGATCTTCCGGAAAGACACATATATAGAAATTAAAAAAAAATCTTTATACCGAAATGAACAGCGTAAATAATAGTACTGAATGTATAGATTGTTCTTTTATTCCATTAAGAAATGTGCTACTCTTGCCATAAATTCTACCTTGAAGTTAATAGGATTAATGTATATCATGAATTGTTGTAGTGGAAATAACTGAGTATGTTAAGATTGTGGATAGAGCGTCTACGAAGCTACGAAGTTCGTAGCACGTTAATTATGCATGTAGCCCGTAGCAAAGTAGCTTTGTAATCCTGTTTGTGAACTTAGTATACGTCCGATGTATTGACTTGAGTCATTGTTTGATGTGTTCGTTAACGAAGGGATTGATATCCAGGTTAGGAAAGTATTTGTAGTCTGTGGAATCTATATTTATGCATTTACAAAACTTTACAGTTATAGCCAAGCCTATACTTTTTTTATATTTATGGACGTATTTGTCAATAGTTTGGGTTCGTACTTGTTAGTACATATACGAATTCGCACATTCATATTTTTGAATCTGAAAGCGTATTGCGTTGCGTTTGTTAAATTTTGTAAGTGTATACACATTTATGCAGCTGATTGTACATTCCTTTCGTAGTTTCTCTACAATCCACTTAGATGATTGTTGAAATTATTTTCAACGAAACACTTGCGAACTGTATTGTTTAAGATTTTACGATTTTGTTTTAACATTAATTAAAACACTCTTTTTTTAAAAAAAAAACTATCTTCTAACTTTAAAAACTAATTCAATGCACAAAAAAGTTCATTTAAAATTTTAAGACTTACGTACGTCTTTACAATTTTTTTTCGTGGTCCACTGGAATTGCTTTAAAGAACTTTGTGTATAGAATGTAAACAGGTCAGGGCGTAATTCCCCTTTGATACTACATACAGTGAAAAATATTGTATGTGACATTTAAAATCTAGCGACTATATTTATACTAAAATACAGGCAAATAATTTATCGTTATATCCTGAAAATACCCTTCAAATTTGTATCATTTTTGTAATTAAAGGCCGGTTCTCCCAAGTTGTAAATTGTTTGCTAACAATCCAACGTGTAAAATATCGGATTTTGTTACCTTATCTGACAGGAGACGTCACTTCATTCGTCATTTTAGACTATCTGAGCCCCTATCAGCCAGTAGTGGGAATGGCCCTAAAAGTCCAAAAAATGTTATATTGACTTTGACTATAGAGAACGTATCACGAATATTGTTAAAACACTTGAATGTTTTGTCAATGACGTTAAAAATAAGTAATTTTTAACTGTCATTAGAATTTTCGTGTTAGACCTTCTGTTATTTATACTTGATTTGATTTATACTTACATAACTTCTATCCAAAGTTATGCAATTTCTCTAACAATCGTATATTTAGCTTACTAATTAATACAACATAGTTCAATCAATATATCTCATCTCGAATTACTTCGACACCAATACAAAGTCTTTCAAGATTAATACGATTCCACGTGGATCGACCTTATCCCTCATTCGATCATTCGTCCCCTTTAATAACATCTGGGCCGATGAAATTACCTCGTAGTACAGGAAAGATATATCCCCAGTAATACGGGGCGATTGTTCTGTCTAAGCCGAGTTTCAGGCGTATTGGTAACAATTGAGACAGTCGCGAATCTAATTAGTATTTATCGTACCTTCTGAGTTAAGATTTGAAAGGAATCGTTTGTTCCAGATATTAGAATTTTGTTGGTGTAAAATTTTTAGATGATGTACGTTTTAATCAAGTAGTTGTAACAGTTATTTTGATTGTCTTACTAATAATATAAATGCGAATGTTTAGATGAATGAATGGATGTTTATTAGAATGCATATCCAAAACACATTTATAAAGTATTTTTTAAATTCGCGCCGACATAGTCGCTGGAAAATGTTAGTATAAAATATAGAAAATCATAAGGGAATTAAGTAAAATGGCGTTAAAATGTAAATGCATATATGTCAGTATGTTATAAAATTTGTAGCGTAAAGCAAAGTTTGTTCACATCTTTTGTTGTACGTATTTTATAAATCGATGCTCTTTGTGCTGCATGATAAATGAATCAGTGTATGTGAGAGCGGGTGTTAGTAACATTAATTTGTATTAAACTTCAGTACATTCAAAAATTTGTAGCACAATCTATAATTCTATAGATTATTCCACCTCATTTTTATTATTATCTCGAAATTACATCCTCCTTCAATTTTCAAACAAGGATGTCATTAACCTGCCTTTGTTACGGAGGGTCAGTACAGGATGTGCTGCCCTTCCGTACATCTCTATCAGCAGTCATATCTGAAGTCACTCCCTTCTTAAGCATATAATCTTTAACACAATCCATGGGTACTTTCTTCGGTCTCTTCCTTCCTCTCCCTTTGTAGCTATCCACATTTACAATCAAACAAGGATTTATTTGTTTTAATTACCTAACTTATGATTTTCTGTTACAGGATTTGAAGGCACACATGTAATGATATTCATTGGTTTCGGGTTTCTTATGACTTTTCTAAGAAAGTACTGCTACAGTGGCGTCGGGTTCAACATGTTCCTCGCCGCACTCGTAATACAATGGGCACTGCTCTGCCAGTCGTGGTACCACATGAAAGATAACATTATTTACATCACAAAGAAGACTTTACTCGGTAGGTATAAGGTCCTTTTTTGCTTGATGGGACATATTCTAGGGCTATTTTTGTCCGTATAGACCGATTCATGCATCAGTCGGTTTGTATTCGACAGCAAGATGTTTTTATTCATTGAACATTTTTAAGTAATTATAAGCAAAGTACATGGATCTGCACTTCATCCTTAATGTGAAATTTTAAATTTTCGAGATACATTAGGTAAATTTAAACTATAGAAAACTTTAAGATATGTTTGACAGCGAGAGACTGACTGAATGAATATGTTAATGATCTATTCTGGTATTAAATATTCGTATTATCTTTGCAGAAGCTGACATTATGGCGGCAACAATATTAATCACATTCGGGGCTCTTCTCGGCATCACGTCGGTGAACCAGCTATTATTCATAGCTATCATCGAGACTGTGTTCGCCTGCTTCAACCTTTGGCTAATTACGTCACAGTTTAAAGTAAGTCCATCACCGTTGCAGTTTGCATTACAACAGTTAAGTATAAGGTTTATGGCTAGTGGTGCAAGTCCACATAGGTTCAAAACAAAACATCACGAAATCAAACATTTGAACCAAAAAACATGTGCAGAGCGTTCCAATTTTTTTTGGCGGATGATCTGTTGATCTTGAGATGAGCAATGTAATGCTCTCCGCCGCATCATGTTATGCTCAGCTACACTTAAAATGATGTTCTGCGCATCGCCTCCTACGTAGGTCAAAGCAGCCTAGATGTTTGAAAAATGTAATCGATTTTTATCGTAGATTTTTTTGTAGCATCAAAACG